AATGTAATGAATAGAGGCTAAATGCTAATAATATAATGTAATGTAATGAGTAGGGGCTAAACGCTAATAATGTAATGTAATGCAATGAGTAGGGGCTAAACGCTAATAATGTAATGTAATGAGTAGGGGCTAAATGCTAACAATGCAATGTAACGTTTCTGGCGCCGGCTTTCGAATCCCGGCGAGTCCTCCGGGTGACTCACGTCCCCCGCGGGGAGACGTCCCGGCGTGTCCCGCGCGGTCGGTGAGGCCCTGACCGGACACGCAGACGTGACTCAGTATTACAGAGATCGCACAGCAGGCGGGTAGATCGTTCCGGAACCCGTTCATGCAAATATATCTCCGTGGGAGAAAAGAGGGGAGACTTTTTTTTTTCTTCCCTGTGAAACGGGAAGGTGTGGGAGGGGAAACCGACGGGGAGAAACAGGAGAGAGGAGGAATTAATAAGATCAGGAGGAGGTGCGTGAGAGCCATCAGTGAGGTGTGTGAGGCAGCAGTGAGATGTCTACTTTTGCACTTGGGGACCACACGGACAGACACGTTACATTATTAGCATTTAGCCCCTACTCATTCCATTACATTACATTATTAGCATTTAGCCCCTACTCATTATATCACGACATTATTAGCATTTAGCCCCTACTCATTACATTACATTACATTATTAGCATTTAGCCCCTACTCATTACATTACATGACATTATTAGCATTTAGCCCCTACTCATTCCATTACATTACATTATTAGCATTTAGCCCCTATTCATTACATTACATTATTAGCATTTAGCCCCTACTCATTACATTACATCACATTATTAGCATTTAGCCCCTACTCATTACATTACCTTATTAGCGTTTAGCCCCTGCTCATTAAATTACATTACATTATTAGCATTTAGCCCCTACTCATTACATTACATTACATTATCAGCATTTAGCCCCTACTCATTACATTACATTATTAACATTTAGCCCCTACTCATTACATTACATCACATTATTAGCATTTTGCATTAGCTCTCATCCAGAGCCGCTTACACAGGTTACAGTTTCGTCCGTTTATACAGCTGGGTATTTACTTTGGTTCCCTCTACTAAAACAGAAACGGCACTCCAAAACGCGAGGACTGAGGCCGGAGGCGTTGGCCTGCCTCCATCGAAAAAAAAAACCTCAGACGCCCGTGACTCACGCTCCCACGCCTCAGTTCTTGCGCCAAGACAAACTGGGGCCTATTACACCTTTTGTCAAACAGAGCCAATTACTCACCCGGCCGCACGTTTGAAGTCGGAAAGGCTCCTTTGAGCGAGAAAGATTGCCTCAAACAAACTGAAATAATTGCGGTTTTCCGCCGCTGTTGAGATTTCTCGGGCCGCGGCCCGATTTCGCATGTTTTATCCTTACGCTACAATAAAAATCCACCTGGTTCAACCCAAAAACTTAAGTTCGGTCGCTGCCTTAAAGTTTCACGTAAATTCTGATTGGATTTACCAATTGTTTCAACTCTTTATTCACTGAACTGACTCACAAACCTGAGCTGGAATACCGAAAACTCGTAAAATCTAGACGGAATCGCGTAAATCGTAAGAGCTAACCTGAGCTGGAATACCGAAAACTCGTAAAATCTAGACGGAATCGCGTAAATCGTGAGAGCTAACCTGAGCTGGAATACCGAAAAACTCATAAAATCTAGACGGAATCGCGTAAATCATAAGAGCTAACCTGAGCTGGAATACCGAAAACTCGTAAAATCTAGACGGAATCGCGTAAATCATAAGAGCTAACCTGAGCTGGAATACCGAAAACTCATAAAATCTAGACGAAATCGCGTAAATCATAAGAGCTAACCTGAGCTGGAACACCGAAAACTCGTAAAATCCAGTTGAAATTGCATAAATCGCTACGTTAAGTTGACGTAAACGAAGGAAAGAAGCTACCATGACTTACAGACACACTTTGAGACGTGTGGGCTTCGCTTGATGGTCAGACGTCAACTTTACCCGACAGAAAGAAGATTCAAGATTCACGATTCAAGATTCGAAAAGCTTTATCGCCTATCCCATAATGATAGCAAATTGTCTCGGCTTAGGGGCTCGCAAACAACATAAAAACACACACCAACGGAAAAGCTCACATAAAATTACATTAAAACACAATCACTTCTGTAAATAAGCAATATAGCTTAGCACACTTCTGTAAATAAGTGTGCTAAGCCGTGTTAGCGTCGTGTAAAGACTTTAAGCGGAGAAAAAGTCTGATATGTTGTTAGCGCATTCTGCGGCAAGACGAAAAATCAGCATTTTCAGTTTATTTTACATTATGCCTCGGTCATTTAGCGTTAGCTCTTATCCAGAGCCGCTTACACAGGTTAGAGTTTTATCCATTTATACAGCTTCATATTTACTGAGGCCGTTCTGGGTTTAGCGCCTTGCCCAAGGGTACAGCAGCGGCGCCCTGGCTGGGAATCGAACCCGCAACCTTCCTCTTAAGAGCCCGCGTAACGGCTAGGACAGCGCGTCGCCCGGCCGTTCGCCGCTTAAAGAGCCTCCTCAAAGCCGTGCTCCGACCGCGGT